GTGCCATTGCGCTTACACAATAACAGACTGTGAAAAGAAACACAAAACTCATAAAATAGGTGAATCATGTTATATATCTTACGAAAGCAGTACGTTTAAAGAGATCTTTTGAAAGTGGTAAGACATTTTAATTCTCTGATGGGAAGGGGGATCATTTCCGAGGACTGTCTGTCTGTTACACATCATTTACATCGAATACCAGACCAATAACACACTTGAAGGGAATTAACTTTACGAAAAATTACCAAGAATCGATTCATTTTGAGTCGGTTTGGCGGTTTGACCGAGGTATTCAATTCAATTCAATTCAGAACTTTATTTTTAGACTCAGCTGCACAAGGCTGAGGTCCATAAAACATATGTTACATATAGATAGGGAAAAGAGCTGAGTATGAACATGATGAGTATAATAACAACAATTCGTACAAATACTAAAGAGTATAACAAACTAAACTATACTACGTATATACAATGTAACATGTAACCTGTAACTGCAAGATTGGTAACAGTAGGCCTATAGCAATCTAACCCTAAGCTGTACTTGTAACTGCAAGATTACAATAAATATATGTATAAAAAAATGAAGTTGTAATTTAATTGTAACAATCTCCGCTTAACTAACTAGAACAATATACTAATAATAGATAACTAGATATTATAACAAGCAACAAGGACTATACTGCAACCATGAGAGGCTGGATAGTACTTGGTAACATCATGCAAAATATGATCAATTCCCATGTGTCAGCAGGCTGTTAAGCCAAAAATTTCCAGAGGCCCGATATGGGGGTTAGGGTTAGGGTTAGGGGTTCACTAACATCTTTACAATACCATTCTCAGAGACATCCACTCTCTGTATGAACTTATACATGAGATTTCGTAATACAGCCGAACAGACTGGAACATTCAACTCAGCAAACATTTGACTAACACTTAAGTATCTAGGTACCCTAAGAAGCATTCTCATAGCATCATTATAGGCCACAGTAAGCCTGTACAAACTGCTCTTCTTAAAATTACACCACAGATGCGCAATGTGCAAAGGTGTACAGTATGCCCTTAATAATGCCACCTTCACATCCGGAGAACACATATGAAATGTTCTAACGAGCATATTACCTTGAGCATATAATTAACGACACTGTCGACTAATATATCTTTATCATCACACAGGTCCTCAGTAGAGTTTCGGACTTGCAAACTTTAAATGTTCAGCTGTTGAAGTATCAAGACCACATTCATTCATTCATTCTTTACAAACGGTATTACCTGCATTAGTTTTCACTGTTGTAGTATTAAATACAGCAATTCAGGGTCTTATTTCCATTTGATAAAAGTTTTGTGTCTTTTTCCTTATTTCTATATTCAGCATGATATACAGACAAAGTCGCACCTATGTATGAATTGACTTTGTACATAACTGTTAATAAATGATGTTCAAAATAAATGATTTTCAATTCGTAAATTTTCGGGGCAAGAATTCCACATTTTGTGGGTTGGCTTCAACGCTGACTTTTGATTCAGAGCCCTATAAAAAATATACCAAATGCATAAAAAGAGAGGGCGAACGTTCCAGCACAAATTGTGACCACTTTTGTTGCAAAACAACATTGCGTTTGAGGATGGAATTTTCATAATGAAATTAATGTTCAATTCCTCATTTTGGCAACAAGTAAAGAGGTTCAAGTTCTTTGTTTTTTCATCAATATTTTTTTTTTCGTCTTTTCGACAAAATATTTTATTCATGTATGTTAAAACAGTGTATGATTTAAACAAATATGTTATGGTTTGCAATTTAAACAACAAAAATGTTATCAATTTAGCCTCTTAAAAATCCCGTTTTAAAAGGGTGGTTTAGGCACTCCATGGAGGCTGAAACGAACATTCACTCCCATTATGAACAAATAAAAGCACTTTAAAAAAGGTAATTCAACCCTTGTTGTATTTTTAAAGTTCATTTGAATTAAATCAGCCACAAAACAAATCAGATAAGCAGAATGGCGAAAGTTTGAAATAAATCGGACCGATAACAGATTAATTTTTATAAATGTTTGAAATATGAGATCACTACAGCTATGCAAATCTCAAATGGGCAATTTTGTCAGTGGATTGTAAACGTTGTGGCGGATAACTCTCCATTTTGTAGTGTACTAAAATATCACAGATTTCTGTTTTTCTGCTTCAACACATTCAAATACAGAGATTACTCTGTTTTAAAAGCATGTAAACTGCTAAAATAATAATCATCATAATACTACTCATAATAAACACGATAGTAATAATAATTATATCTTATTTATAAAGCGTCTTGTTATAAAATAAAACGCATATAAAACAGAAAATGCCTACAAACAAACATAGAAAAGGGAACTTTTAAACATATAGCTTGCATTAATTACAAAGAGGAATATTAAGAGAAAGTAGAAAAGATGTGTTGCAAAAGAGTTCTTGAAAGCTGCGAGGGTATGGCAATCCTTTAGTACAGGGGGTAAGGAGTTCCAGGTGTTAGGGCCAATCACAGAAAAGGCCTTAATGTTTCCAAAATAAGTAGAAAGTAATAAATCATAAATATCAATAACACTTATCGGTAATACTTATTCCATTTCACCAACTGTGTGCGTTCGCTTAAATGGATCGTCATAAAAAAAAAATTATAAAACTTCTGTCAATTGTATACCACTCCTTATTAATTAACACATGTCAATATTAATCTACAAATTATTAATTCTTGTTAATGATAAATTAATGCATGTTCTGCGTCAGATATTGCATCGTTTACATTAACCAATTGTTATGAAACACAACGGGAATAAAGTAGTTTCCAGTTCTTCTGAAATTCTTCGTAGGCTGCACTCAAACAGTCATGTGAGAAACGCCATAGGTCTTGCTTTTTCGGTATGCCTGTATAAAATTTAAAAAGTAAAAAACAAATTATCATTGAGACAAGTCGTTCGGATTCAATATCAGGGATAAATGGAAGATCGTCTACAATATGATAAAAGAATGTTAAAACTTAAAACTTTGGTGTTAATATTTCGGGTTTGAATATGACTGGCATGTCTGAAATTTACAGTACATAACGAAATGACAACATTTAGGTTGATCTACATTCAGCCTATATGATCAAATCTCATGAACATCTATCAACGATCTCAGTTCTTTTATTTCTTTTCTTTCCTAATTTTTCTACAAAACAAAGTCATAAAATCTAGAAACAAAACAACTACAACTCCAAAAAAAACAACAAAAAAAACAAGTAGGATGATTTGATCATTTGATCGGTATTATTCTAGAAAAATATTCGTTAAATTCTGTAGTTTTGATCTTGTTTACTGACTTAAGGCTTCCAGTAGAATTCCATATCTCTCTCTCTCTCTCTCTTTCTCATAACTCTCACACTTTCTTTACTTCTTACGCACACTCTCTCCCTCTTTTTATTCCCCTCTCTCTCCCTCATAAGATTAATCAATTGGTCTATGAAAAGAAGAAAAAACAAGATGGGCCTTTAGGCCTTGGTTGAATTTTTTTATTGAATGTCCATGTTCTATAATGTTACATTATTTATGTTTAGCATGAACGCCAAGCAGAAGAACCAATCAATCATCATCATAATGATATTATTACTATCATCATCAGCAGCAGAATTTTTGTTTAATATATGAATTATACATACATGGCGTAATGTCACCCCAATCGTGCCATCAACTGTGGAGATTTCACCGAGATACTCTTCGACGTCTCCCCCTTCTTGAGTGCCGCAGTACTGAAAACTGTATCGAGGAGAAAGAGCAAATTAGCAACAACAAAAACAACTGTGATCGTTAGCATTGCAAGTTCATGATTAAAAATTTATGGACGTCAAAAGTTATAGCGTGGATGTATTTATTTGCCATTCATATATATATATATATATATTATTTGGGGAGCATTTGCAAAAAGCAACCAGATACCTTAAATGCCTTCACCTTTCATTTTTATTTTCATGTCCCGATCAAATGGATTTTCTGGTGGAAGGGGAGAAGACATGAAGGCCTAACTTATCATCATTATTATTATTATTAGTAGTAGTAGTAGTAGTAGTAGTAGTAGTAGTATTACTTATACTGCGGTTTTCCCATAAGAACCGAAGCGCTTACAGTTACAGCGCTTACAACTACAAACTGCAAATAAAATGTGTTTTTAAGGCCTTTATGAAGGTAATAACTGATGAAGACTGCCTAATTCTAAGTGGTAGATCACCCCAGCATTTTGAAGCAGATACAGTAAATGTCCTATCACCGGCTAATGTGCGGGCAACTGAATATGTAAGACGGAGAGGACCACTGGCTGACCTCAATGCCCTGGCAGGTGTATATAAATTCAAACAGGTATCTAAATAGTATGGAGCTTGATTATTGAGTATTTCGAAGACAAACAAGAGTTATTTAAACATTATTCTTTGTTTCAAACGAAGCCAGTGTAATGATCTCAAGAGTGGCTGAGATGGATGGTCCCTAGAAACCTGAAATATCAATCGGACTGCCCAATTTTGTAGCCGTTGCACACGATCCAATTTAGTCGAGGGAATGGTAGAGAGAAGCCCATTACAATAATCAATACGGGATAGAACTGAACAACGCACAGCATTATGACAGGCAGACTGGTCAATAAACTTCTGATTCTAGCAATATTCCTTAAATAAAACGTAACCATACTACAGATGTGAGAAATATGGTGAGACATTGACATGTAGGCAATTACCAGAACCCCCTCTATTAATGAATATTACATTAGAGTCAGCTGTGCCTAGTATTTTTGCTTTCTAATATGCACAATTTCTGCTCCCAAAATTGAAGCTTCCTTTTTTTCTAAGAGAAATCGTAAGGATTATTAGGACAAAACGTACTCGATCTCCCTCATGCTAGGTATCTGCCTCAGCCTGAAAACGAATATCTTCAGAATATTCAATTTCAGATTGACGTCGTACAATTCCAGCTTCTCCAAGAGGGGTGCGTCTGACTCTAGGCTACAGATAAGCTTTGTGGCGCCATCGACATCTGACCGCTGCATCCACTCACATGGAGACTGCGTAGCTGACCATTGCACTCCCCAAGTCCTGTCATGACCGAGTACAGGACCTGCTGAAGATTGTCGAAGTTTGGACTACTCTCCACTTTGAGGCTTTGGACGTTGGGGACGGCAGAGATGAGTGAGGAGTGGTCATTGGAGTTGTCGAGGTGCCCAAGTGTGAGGCGCTTGATGAAAGGAAGCGTGGACAATTTGAAATTTTGTAGACAGCAACCCCATACCTTCATCTCTTCAAGATTGGGACAAGATCGCAGACCAATCCAAAGGGTTCGTGTCAGTTTTGCCCGCAGATGACAATACATGAGATCCACAGACGTGATCTAGATGAATAAAAACAACATGGCACATCGCAGAAATGTAAATTTAATAGAACAACAAATAAATGTAGATATAGCTTTATATTCGAAAAAGTTGTACCTATCAACAAAAAAATAATATGTGTTATTTGCATTGAAACTATGAATGGTGCTTATCAGGGACAATATGGAGCAAATAATTATTCTTGGCATGATCGTCCACGCCAACCCGGTATTGTTATGAATTTAATAAGTGTGTCGCTAAATTACAATGTATAACAACAAAACTATTATTTACCTGTATTTGTACATTGGGCGGCAGTCTACCCAATCCCATGACTGCACTCGATGGCAATGATTGCAGACACAGCTTGCCATCGTCAAAGAAAGTTGGATAGTCAGTCGTTGATTTTGATATGTCACCTCTGGCTTCACCAATACAGTCCAGAAGAAGTCTGTGCTTGATATCTTTGCTGATTACTCTCTCCTCAAGTTCCAGGATGAGTTGAATAGAAGACATCAGCAAATTGTCACCCGAACCTGCCAGGAAGCGGAGCACATCGGCATACATGAGCGGTGTTGCACTTCTACGTACATTCTTCAGGAAATGGTCGAGGTCGCCCTGAGAACCTGCCAAGAACTTGCTTGCGCAATACTCCTGTGCCATTTTGTGAAAGAACTCGATGTACGTCTTCGAGGCTTTCCCGTTTATCATGTATTTGACTGGAATTGTCTTCTTTGACAGCAGACCCAGTTTGATACCAATGACTTCGTACTCTTCGACCCCTTGAAGATCAGTATCTTCAAAGACCATCTTCTGCTCGTCTTTCAAGAGTCCAGTGAGTGCCACTTTTCCGAGGTTTTGAAGGAGGGCGTGATAGTCACATTCAAACGTGTCGTCTTTGGATCTTGAATGAGTGAGTAGAAACTGGATGATGGTGTCAAACAACCCTGTCATGGAAGAAACTTGGTTAAGAAGGCCTTCTTCCCTGTTCGAGGCAGCAAACCTATCAAGGACGCTCTCCGAAAAACCGAGCTCTCGACCAATAGCGCACATTTGGTCATCACTCTCGATGTCTCTCGCCACACTTCTCAAGGTACTCGCATGTTCATCAACACTGTCACTGCTCACTTTGCAAAAAAAAAGAAAAAGAAAAGAGATGGCGGAGTGTTTAAGTTTTTATTGTTTATTTTATTTTCGCGAAAGATAAAGGTTCCGCATAATCCCAAACACGATTTCGCTTTGTTAATTTTGCATTCAAAATCTTTGAGGGGAAAAAAATATAAAAAGTCGACTTAAACATATTAAAGGTTACTGAATAAAGGGAGGGTAAGTGGTGAACTTACGACTTTCTGTCATCTCTTGAACATTTGGGAAGTACTGATCTGCAATCATGACGAGTCCAGCTCTGACAAGGGCTACTTTGAAAGAAGCACGTTGATCCCCTTTTCTACAGGTTTTCTTTCCCCTTCGCTTTCTTCCTACATTTTTGTTTGTCTTTCTTCTTTCACCATTCGACCATACACTCTGTAGCTACGATCATTGCGCTCAAGCTACTGAATTACTGGCATGTAAACTTGACCATACACATGAACCTTCACTTAAATTTCAATTTATATTACATTTCTCTTTTCAATTTTTGTTATAGAAAATCACTTATAATCATTTACAAACATTAAGGAATACATATTTGAAATAGAGGGGTCTCGGCAGAGGAAACCTTTATTAATTTGGCACACGTTGCACAAGAGGCGTCATTAGGGACTTTTATATTTGCACGATGAGAACGTGGACTGCAACGTGTGACATCCTTTTGAGGCAATGTGACGTCCTTTTAAGGCACTGGCAGTAACGTCACATTGCCTAAATGTCACTAGAGCAGTCCACGTTCTCGTCGTGCAAATCTAAAAGTCCCTATTTGCGTGACCTGTCACGACTGACGAGGTCTTTGACGAGCTAATTGAGAATGATATCGAAGCAAAAGCGAATGCGCAGTTAATAGTGCCACGTTTTCTCTGAATTATATTACTGATGCGAACACTACTTGCTTTTTACAGGATTAATTAGCGCAATTGAATTTACAGCGCATGAAACCTCGTCACGGGCAGGGTCATGGCCATGGGTTGGGCAATGTAGTTACCTGAGAAAAATTCTCGAACGTTTTTCTCTATTTGTTCTGCCTTTATAAGCCTGTCAAGTAGGTCCTTCGTGGCGTCTTTATTTGAAGGTTGTTCATTTCGCCATCTTCGAAGCAGTCTCATCGAAGCCTTCTCTGTATTCGATTCGCAGGCGGTCAAGGCCTATCCAAATCACACAAAGAAAGTGATGTCAAACATGGACGTTATATCTATTTACACTGTTGGTCATAAATGTGGAATAATTATTTTTACCCAAATTTATGGAATCTTTTTGATAACGATTTATTCCTAATAGATCTAAATAATAGTATACATTCCCAGATGTTATTGAATAATAGTTTGCAAGTGTTTGTTTTGCGTGACTGCTATGTCCTTAAGTCTTTAGGATTAATGCCTCACAAAAGGGCACTAATATAGTAATAGTAACGAGGCCCTTTCTTAGCCACTGAATCATGACTGTACGCTGCGGCGGCTAGGGTACGGGGCCGCCCCCACAAATACAAAAAAACAAGGAAAAATTCATCGCATTTTACCCTAGTCCCCAACAGGAAAAAATCCTCTGTAGGGCCATGCATTATGAGTTAAGGCATGGCCATAAAGGGGATACTTTGTTTTTATGATGTACATACATTTTGTTGTTGTTAAAGGGATGGTTGAGTTCTGTTTTCAGACCGCAAAAGCCTTCAAAGTGCATGGTTATTGCACTTATTCTTATCTACGACATTTTTAGTGCCCTTTTAGGACCTGAAAGTGCTATGAAGATAATTTTAGACCCCAAAATGAGTGAAATTTAGCCAATATGATCATACAAATTCATCTCAACTTTCAAAAAAATATGTTAGTTGGTTAATTGATTAATTGATAAAAAAAAATGAAAATACATGGTTGTGCGTAATAATAACCAACACGAAAAAGCCAACAAAAAAGCCAACATCGGCATAGGCTGAAATACAACGTAAAAGGCGCTATTTAGTTCTTTCAACGGCTTTTTCAAATTATCGAATATTTGTGGTGGTACACTAATATTAGAAATCGTTATATTTATGAATATTTTAGCCGTCTCTGAACTGATTTTGTTCAAACAAAGATGATTTTGTCATTTAAATTGTATGTTCTTTCAAATTTGACACTCAGTTTTTCGTTTTCTCACAAAAAATATTGTGTGTAGCGCCCTCTGCAACAGAACTCAACTATCCCTTTAATAAACTTCAAACTTCATAAATATTATAATATATTATTCCGCGTTATACATGTTCTATATCATATACTATCATGGAAATAAGGATAGATTAAATTTCGAAAAGTAAAAAAAAAAAAAAATTATATTAGATTATTGATATGGGACAGGAGCAAAAGTTCTTTTTAGGGTGGGCGGGGTCCAACTACTTGACCAAAGCTATCCATCTGGACCAAATTTCGGCTGCGTACGTTTGACAAAATGTCCCGTTCACAAGACAACAAATAATGAATTATAAAAACCCTAGTGCTACCAATCCAATATGACCTCATTAATAGTGTGTTTTTTATCTTTAAAAAGCCAGGAACCGAAGTAACTTGGTCTTAGGATTAGGGTTAGGGTGAGTAATGAAGTAAGTAATTAATTTCAGATTTCATATTTTTCATCCCAAGTTTTCATTCTGTTTATATATCAATGTTCCCACTCTAAATTCCTTTTTCCATGAGCACTCAATCACTCAACTCTTATTGCATTTAAATTTGCTTGTCCTCAAATGTAATTCCCTCCCTTCTGATGTAATTTCCAGCACAAATGTTACTTTATTTAAAGCCCGTCTGTACTAGCTTGGCTAGGAGGGATGAGACCCCCAGCATGGTCGCTAACAGGTGGCTATGTCATCAACTCAGCTCTCAATTAATATAAGAAAAAGAGGACCATGTGGGACCAACGGGCACCGCTTAGGTATTTGTTTATATAGAGGGAACAAAAATCTACAAGTAGTACAGTGGGGCTTTAAAATCAAACTCAAACTTTCAATAATAGAACAGGTAAAATCTATAAGATATTTTGGTATAGTTATTGACGAAAATTTGAAGTGGAATGTATATTTAAGAGACTTATGTAAATCTGTTGCCTATAAAATCTAATATCTAGGAAAGCCGAGTTAATTATTAATCCCAGAACTACTGAACACCCTTTATAAGTGTGTAATCCAACCCTGTATAGACGCAATATCTGTATGGGTAAATTGCCCAGCCAGCTACAAGCTGCCCCTTCAGAGATTACAGAAAAGAGCTGCTAGATAGATATGTAACTGGTAACTCTGACTATGAACTTGCAAGCGGCAACACGTTGGTAAAAAAAAACTTTCCTGGCAAACTTTTGATCAGCGCCGGTATTATTTTTTGGATATGCTTATGTTAATAATAATAATAATAATACATTTATAGAGCGCAGAAACTATCCAACATTAGGTATATATTCTACTGCGCTACGTTTAAATGTATAAGGGGCATTGCTCCACCTCGTTTTTCAAACGAAATAGAAATGAATTTCGACCGCCATGGCCTAAATACAAGAAATGCAAAGTCTCTTCTTCTTCTTTTTCTTCTTCTTCTTCTTTAAGATAATCTGCCTCCTTCAATACTGACGATTCTTGCAGATGCCGGATACTCGGCATGATTGGGGTGTGCCTTAATGTAGTATCGCCAAAACCCAACGTGACCTTATTCAAACAATCTTTTAAGTGTGCTGGAGCGGTTAATTGGAATAAGCTTCCCAATGATATCCAAAATGCCAATTCAGTAGACAGTTTTAAATACCAAGATAAAAAAAAAAACTTTCCTTTAATCGATAAAATGCAAACCATAATCACAATCATTGGGCTTAAAGGTAAAGACCAGTATTGGAAACGCCCCAACTTCAAAAAATGAAATGGAAGCTCTTATTACCATTGTGAAAGAGTATGTTTTGACTAATACATGATGATAAAAAATTTGCCGGGAAACCGCCTACTAATTGATATATTTGGTAAATTAGTTTATCTACTGGTGTGTGAGAGATAAACGCACGTGTCACGCACGTGTGCGTAGTCCCATATACATCTTTCTGTATACAGTGCTTGTAACTTTACGAAGACTGGGCCAAATTTCTTATCATTTTAATGATTCCAGAAACTTGCAGTACACACCAATATTTGTATGCTAGATAATCAACCTTTTCTGATCGATTCCTGAACGTTTCTTTCACAATGCAATCGCATGACCATAACTGGTCTTTATCTTTAATCTCGACATGAAATGTTTATTAACTTCATTGTTGTATATAATTATAATGTAAAATGTCATAATTTAAATGTCATATTGCATTATTTTATCTTTTTTTCTCCTATTTTCGTTTTTCCCTTATCTTATTTTTCCTATTTGTGTTGTTTTCGTTTTTTACCATTTGTATAAGACTGCTATTTTGTTTGTAACTACTCTTATCGTCAATTCTTGAATTTGTATTTTCCATCCTTATGCAGGACCATTATGTAAAACAGCCTGCGAGCTGATCAGTGTTATCCTGTTAAAAGATGTTTTAATAAATAAATAAATAATAATTACCTATGTCAAATAAACATGTAATTTCATCTCTCCTCCTTACGTTTCCTTATTTCCCCCTTACCTATTTCCCTTTACCTGCATGTTTGGTGCTGTTTTTAAATGTTTTTTTTTTTGCTAAATAAGTTTGTTTTGTATCTAATGTTTATTTTATGTATATTTCTTTATGTATTGGGTGCCCCATTAATAATGCCTTGGCTTTTATGGGTACCCTGACCATTTACACTGTATCAATAATTGTCATACGTGCATGATTTGTTTACTTTTTTTTTTTTTTTTTAAATGGTTTAACGAATTGAATTGAATATATTCCCTTTTGGTTGGCCATACAACTGGACTATAACCTAGCTTTTTGCAAGGCCAAACGATTTATTCCCCTTTATTATGAGGTAAAGAGTTGCCCATTCTCGAAGGGTTTAAAGATAAGCTTGAGTTCTGTTAATGGTAAAGAATCAATTCTCACATAATCCAACAAAACTTACACCGAATGTTCAAGATTAAAAATAAATGAAATTTACCAAACGATTTTGGTAGAAAATGTGTAGGGGTTGAGCAGTGGCGTACGCAGGATTTTTTTCAAGGGGGTGATTTAAAATTTGAAAATCACGCCGACCATTATCGTTTAGTTGTACGGATAGTGGCATGCTTGTCCCGCCATATACCCCGCCATATTTACCTCGACTAGCTTATAACACGACCTTTACCCAAGGGTAACTTTTCCCCGTCTGAACAAGACTAGTATC